GATTAGTTATAACAGCCAGCAGTGTTCAAACTTCATGACTATTTGTACTATAGTAGTGAATTCTTCAGATTCCTTTTCTGAGTTATAGAAAGCCACAGGAAAATGTTGCCAGATTGTGATACTTGTGATTACGGGTCCGTGCTTTATTTTGACAGATTCAAACTGTAACGTTAATTCCTGGAGATGGAATCGGTCCAGAGATCTCCACTGCAGTAATGAAGATATTTGAAGCAGCTAAGGTAAGTATCTGTTGTTTCACTCTTCGGGAATGCAGCCTAGGCTGCAAGTTGCAGCAAGTGCATTATGCAGTTTTTCTACACGAGTCAGGCTAAAAAATGAGCTACTATGTTTTTTTTTTACCCCTTTGAACACTGCTTTAAGACTTGGGTGTGAATTTCTTTCCTCACCCAGGCCCCTATTCAATGGGAAGAGAGAAACGTCACTGCCATCAAAGGGCCCGGAGGCAGGTGGATGATCCCTCCTGAGGCCAAAGAGTCGATGAACAAAAACAAAATTGGATTAAAAGGTCAATTTGCCGACTGTGTCTCATATCAGGCATAGTGTGTATGAAACTTGCATGATCAAAACGGAATTATATTTCAGGACCCCTGAAGACACCAATTGCTGCTGGACATCCGTCCATGAACCTGCTGCTAAGGAAGACCTTTGACCTTTATGCTAATGTGCGTCCCTGCGTGTCGATCGAGGGCTATAAGACGCCTTACACCGATGTGGATCTGGTCACCATCAGAGAAAACACAGAAGGAGAGTACAGTGGGATCGAACATTTGGTAAGTATGAGTGCTCACCTGTATTTTAAACTATTTAACCTGTAACTCAGCCAAACCAGGGATAGTTGATCGTATTCTTTTGATTTCTGCTTCAGGATCTGCATTTGCAGGAATAGGTATTTGAACCCTTTGGATTTAAATGGAGTTCTGCATTAATTGATTTAGACCATTCATCATTACAAAACTGATATAGTTTAATAGAGTTCTTGAGAATTGGTTTGAATCGCTGTTTTGAGTTTATGCCAAAGCATATAAATTAGGCTGACATCTGGATTTTGGGGTTCTCATACTTTTTCTGCAACTCTATATACATTTATCCACCTTTAGACCTTTAGGCCCAGTATAGCGCAATAGGGTGACATTTGACTTTTGGAGCCCTCAACAGCTGCTTGGCTCCCTTCACAAATGTCAAAGGTCGTGCTATTGTCATCTAATGCTGTCTTAACCAGTTTCTCATGCAGTGCTAGCGGGAATTCAGTGGCACAGCTCATATTTCAGTGCTGTGTATTCTTTAGGTAGGTGCCACACGACTGCTGTAAATCAGTTGTCTCTAGTCCCAGTCCATAGTGTGTCAAATTGTTATATGAAATTACCTTCAGGGGTGTATTCCAGAAAGCAGGTTATGTGACATATAATTAACATAAAACAAATAATATAATTCATATTCTCAAGGATTAAACATTAAACGGAAAAAAATTTAAATGATTGCACAACCATCAATTAGGTGGCGATATGCACTAAGCATGTAAATGATCATTGAACAAAAGAAGAAGAAAGAAACAGCATGGCGCTTTTTCTTAGCGTCCATTTCCATAGCGACTCGTCGATTCGTCGCTCTGTTGAGAATGTCTTGAGTCTTAATCAGGAACATACTCTGTGTTGAATGAACTTACTCCCGGACGCATTTTTGGAACCACATACCTCGAGTAAGCAAGGTTTGGGGTTAATCAACCAAGAGTTCAGGATTTAGCTGACGGTAAGTTAACCGTGCTTTCTGGAATACACCCCAGGTCGTCACATTCCATTCATGCGATCTTCCCTTTGTCTGTTCAAGAGTTTAGGGTCAATGAGATTTTTTATTTTTTAAAAATGAATACTTTTATTCAGCAAGAATGCATTACAGGTATAAATTACATTTTAAAATATATTGAAATAGAAAAGTTATTATTATTATTATAGTTAATATTTCACAATATTACTGTTTTCACTGTGGTTTTGACCAAATAAACGCAGCCTTTGTCTGAGACTTATTTCAAAAACATTTAAAAAATACCCTTAACATTTGAACAGTATTGTAAATTTAAAAATCATTTTACTTTCCTCAAATTTTCAGTGGACATTGAAAAAAACTCTTAAAAAAAAAAACTCTTACTGACCCCAAACTTTTACAGTAAATGTTACATGATGTGGTTGTGTTCAAGTTTACAGATTGAGTCCACCATATGAAACTTGGTTTGCAAAACTTAAATCTGAATTTGTACAGCAGTCATCATATCTTGCCCTTTTGTATGAACTAACCTGACCCTGTTTTTTGAAACCTAAACATGGTTTTGTCGAGATAAAGTGATTTGAACAAATTTGGCTCTGTTTATCTCAATGTTATATGTGCACTATTTTCGCTCTTAATCAGATTGTGGATGGAGTTGTGCAGAGTATTAAACTGATCACAGAGGAGGCCAGCAGACGCATTGCTGAGTATGCATTTGAGTACGCCAGGAATAACCAAAGAACCAGTGTCACGGCCGTTCACAAAGCCAACATCATGTGAGAGTCACAAATCACATAGTAACACTATAGCTATGAAGAATTTTTACTGGTAACAAATGTCTTGTTGGATCTAATGACAAAATAATTGTAAGATATAACGATGCTAAATTCAGTGATGTCTTCTAGGCGAATGTCTGACGGTCTGTTCCTGAGGAAGTGCAGAGAGGTTGCTGAGAATTACAAGGACGTGAAATTCACCGAGATGTATCTGGATACAGTCTGTCTCAATGTATGTTTGCAAGACAACTTAGTTCATTAGGCCTGTTGTACACATCCAGCATCTGTGAAACATAAGAAATGTGCTTTTGCCATTTTTATTCATTTTTTATATTTCTACATAGCTGTATAATTTTTATTTCAGTTTTAGTCCTTCAACTTTGACTTATTTCATTTCTAATTTTAAAATAATTACTAAATTGCTTAGTTTTTTAATTTAAAGTTTCTTATGTTTTATTTCAATATTTAAGTTTTATTTCAGCTGTTTTAATTACAGAAGCATTTTTTTTGCTTTTTAGAAGCAAATTAGAAGACATATGCCGTGCTGCACATTCAGAGTTTGGTCTTTTTACTAGTTTGGCCTTTTTTACTTATACTGTGAAATATGGAAAATACAGAAATCTTTTGCATTGCTTTCAGTTGTTAAAAATTATATTTTGGGCTTGATGGAAGTCTATTCACACACAGTAAATACACTTTGGGTTTGGCTTCCCTGTAGTTTAATCAACAATTGAAAGTAAATGTAGTCCCCCTCCTCATGTAAATTAAATTTCATGATGATCAAGTTTATAATAATTCTCAAACAGAGTTATTAGAAGAAATACTCAATGTACTGACCCAGAAATCACTTTTTAATTTTAATACAATCTTTCATACATTACTTTGTGATTATCCACTAGATGGTGCAAGATCCATCTCATTTTGATGTACTGGTAATGCCTAATCTTTATGGCGACATCTTGAGGTGAGTCTGTATGACGCATCATGTAATAGTAGTATATGTGATATGATTATCTATGAAGTGCATGTGTCATCAGCCTTTGATTTGGGTTTCAGTGATCTGTGTGCTGGATTGATTGGGGGTCTTGGAGTCACTCCCAGTGGGAACATCGGAGCCAATGGTGTTGCTATATTTGAATCAGTACGTATTGGACTCTGGAGGATGATGCAATAGCTTTACAATGGAGTGATTGATGATGAATAGCAATATTCCATGTATCATAATCCTTTTATTGTATGTGTTAGGTACACGGAACTGCCCCCGACATCGCAGGTAAAGACCTTGCGAACCCCACCGCTCTTTTGCTGAGTGCTGTCATGATGCTGCGCCACATGGGACTGCATGGGTACGCTAAAAAGATTGAGACCGCCTGCTTCGATACCATTCGGGACGAGAAGGTAGGATCAGTCATTTGAACATGAATATGAATTTAGCTTCTACCATCAAGACGAATATTTTTATGCCTATTGCCCATCTTATATTTCAGGTTCTGACCAAAGACCTCGGTGGAAATGCTAAGTGCTCAGAGTTCACAGCTGACATCTGCCGAAGAGTGCAGGACATGGATTGAGGCTTTTCTAGTGTCTATGTTTGGATCTGATGCCTAAAGAAATCAGAAATTAAAAAAAAAGAAATTAATCTTCACATCATTCTGATATCTGCTCACAATTCTACTAAGTGTCTGCATTTTTGTTTCTCCAGAACAGCAAAGCACTGTCTTAATTCTTGTCTTTCGGCGACTGTATTTGTGAGTTGTGAGCTGTTTTAATCTGTCAAAAAGGAACTACATAATCTAAGATAAACTGTATTTATTGCCTCGACATTTTCTTTGGTTTGATGTGTTTTGACAATTTGCCTTTCTGTCACATGACATGAATCAAAATATTTTGAATTATTTAGTTTTTTTTTTTTTAAGTGTGGTAAATCCGTTAAAAAAAGTGAATGTTTCACATTTTTTATGCTTGAGCTTTTACATCGGCTATGAACTTTGCATTATGGTTAACAATTAATATAATTCACACTGCTCTTGACCTTTGCTGTGTCAGTTGTGAAATGACTGTACTATCAAGACATGACTGTGGATGGAATATATATGTCTATTTTTACGGACAAAACAACCTGTGTCTTTATTTTATAGAGCACTTTTTATATGATCATTATAATACTGCATAAACTAGATTAGAGGATTACCATATAAAGTAAATATATAGACAAAGCACAAGTTTTATTTTTAAGATCTGGTCAAAACATACAGGAATATTAAACATATAACATCCAATTTACATTGAAGACAATTAACAGTATGTTTAGTGATAGCAATTAAAAAAATTAGGGCACTTTGTGTTGTTAGATTAAAAAATAAATCATTAAAAATCAAATTTCTACGATATGATTGGCCAAAAAAGAAACGGTATCTTAAACAGAGATGCAGCCAGTATGGAAGTCATCTATTCTCTGTAAAAACTCTGTATTTCACTGTCATACATCTGCAACACCACTGGGCGACGTAGTTTCATTGTAGGACCTGAAAAGTAACAAATTCTATTATCTTTGGTAATAACTATTGTTCCAGGTTCAATAGAAGTTATGATCCATCAGAAAATACTTTTTTTTTTAATACCCATTGGATGTCTATTGGGAAGTGTTCACAGCACTCACCTAGTTCTCCTCCAACAATTGAGAAATCTTTCCCTAATATGGTCCATTTTTGAATGCGATGGGCATTTGAGGTTGCTTTTGAATTGACCCGAAATTCAAAATGCATGGACAGAAATGTCCTCTTGTCTCCAATCAACATGGCATTGCTGATGATTGGCAACTCCTGTTTAACAGCATCCTCTATGGGAAGTGGGGGAATGTTCTCTCCTCCAGCCGTGATTATAAGCTCTGAATGGAAATGGTATTTAAAAATAACTTGAATCCAACTATAGCATCAATGCTAGTAAAAATGCGTAGGATTTGAAATAACATGCTTTACCTTTTATTCTTCCAGTGATGTAAAGAAAGCCATTTTCATCTACCTTTCCCAAGCCATCCATCTTCATCCAAAGCCTCCTTTGTTTTATCCTTCAGGTTGAGGAATCCCATGAAGATATTGCGGCCCCAGAAACACACTTCTCCAATGCCATCACCATCTACATTTACTAGTTTGTATTGGCAGCCTGGAACCACCTTACCACAGCTAGAAGAGTTTAAGGAATTGTTACACAGTGAACTTGTTGATTATTGGCCTTCAGATTGAAAGTACTCAACCTGTAAGTTGAAGTAAGAGGGCTTGCCTTGAAAATCGGTACACTTTTGGCCCAGACATAAGCTTGTCTGAGCTTTCACTCATCCTGTAGGCTTCATACAGCCGAATGTTGAGGCCGAGGAAGAACTGAAGAGTTTCGCTTCCAATAGGTGCTGCTCCCGAAAATAACTTCATACAATTGGAGAAGCCCAGCTCGGCACAAAGCTTCTGCAAGACCAGGCTGTCCGCAAGAGTAAAGAGGAATGACTTCTCATCCCTGATTTGATGACAATAGTCAGACAATGATATCCACAGCTAGAAGAGTTTAAGGAATTGTTACACAGTGAACTTGTTGATTATTGGCCTTCAGATTGAAAGTACTCAACCTCTAAGTTGAAGTAAGAGGGCTTGCCTTGAAAATCGGTACACTTTTGGCCCAGACATAAGCTTGTCTGAGCTTTCACTCATCCTGTAGGCTTCATACAGCCGAATGTTGAGGCCGAGGAAGAACTGAAGAGTTTCGCTTCCAATAGGTGCTGCTCCCGAAAATAACTTCATACAATTGGAGAAGCCCAGCTCGGCACAAAGCTTCTGCAAGACCAGGCTGTCCGCAAGAGTAAAGAGGAATGACTTCTCATCCCTGATTTGATGACAATAGTCATAAAAACAAGAAAAGTTCAAATAACCTGAATGTAATATAACAGACAATGATATCCTGTAAAATGATTGACATACTTGGGAAGTCTTTGATTAGCCTCCAGACTAACAGACATGGCCCACGTCACTAGTTTCCTTTTCATGTATCCACACCGTGAAATGCCTTCCTTGATCTTTTCCACAATTTTCCTCCCAAACACGTGGAAAGCCCATGTGGGCTGTAGGGGTTACCTCTCGAAGAGTGTCTACTAAACTCCCCTAAAAGAGAACATACAATTTTATGTAAACCCCAGAGCAATGTAGAATAGACTTTGATCCTTTTCAACATTTGACAGCGCTGTAGTAGTCTGGTCTCAAGTCTGAGTCCAAGATCATATTTTCATGATCTTGGTCTTGTAATGAACCAAGTGTACTGCACAAGTCCTGAAAAGTGAAGCCAAAACATTTTGATCCCCATCTGGTAGCTGGCTGCAGTATAGGTCATAAACCCCACCCTCTCCATGCAAACGAATGGGACGTCAGCCAAACTAAAAAAAATCAAATTACACTTCAAATGTTTTTCGAAAGATGGTTTCCATCACTTTAGGTAGTTCTTATCACACTGATTTGTGTTCAAGTGTTCATTTTTCTAATATATTTGCTGTTAGTTATTTGATGCTATAAAACCGGTGTGCATTGTCATGATTTTGTGTCTGTGGGGGCTCCAAATGAATCACTACTTCACAGACTCGGGCTCCAAGTGATGTCATTGCTGTAAGATGACAGCGGCCATACTGGGATGTTTTGGCTTCCCTTTTCTATAGTAGAAGGAACTGGAGATGCGTTGTATATCTTTTTGAGTCTATGTAATGGATTTAGGAGCATTTGGATCTCAAACAACTTCAGATCTCTGTCTTGATTTGGAGTCAATCTACTCAGGGGAAGGTAGCTGACCAGAGACTCTTGCCTAATTTCCTGGCCACATATCTCCAGCCCTGCTTGCATGGTGGGCTGTCCATGGGATCTGTAAGAGTCCAGAATTCAAAATTGTCAACAATTGCAACACAACATTGCTGCTAGATTGTGAATGTCATTTTCCATAGCATCTTACATTGTCATGACATAGCATCACTCCTTTTGGTGATCCGGTTGTTCCAGAGGTTTAAATAAGTACACAGCATTGATTGGCTTTCTGGCTGCAGATTGCTTTATCTTGTTCTTGATCAGAGACTTCCGGTCCTAGTCCCATGAACTCTTCCCACTGTTCAAAATCAAACATTTATGGTAAGTCTTCGGGTAACTTTGGCTTATGTGGATCTCTATATATCGTACACTCACTGAATAGAGATTGGGCAACTTCTCCTTCAAAGATCCAGAATATTGTACTATGGCTTTTAAGTGTGGAATTAAGCTTATCCTTTACCTAACAAGACAAACAGGATGATTAATCAGCTTGTTCATTGTGTATGAGGAGGTCCATGTTTAGAAAATAAAGTAGACCAAATGTTACCTCTAAAATCTTATCCAGCTGCTTTTGATTTTCCACAACAATGATGTTGGCTCTTGAGACATTAGCAACATAGAGGCAGGCATCTGGTGAGTTTGTGGTATAGATACCTGCCATTATACCCCTAGCACAAACAAAAATATAGATGTGAGGGTAGTGATCCTAGACCTAATACTCCCTTTCCACTTTAATAAGTTCATTTAAGGTTGTATTTGATGTTAAAGGCCCCTGCAACATCTTGACCAATGTGTAAACAAGCTTTTTACACTTGAGATTGTTAATCCAGGGTCATTTTTAGTAATCTTGGGATATTTTGTTCCATGTTTTACACCAAGTACATTTACATGCACTTTAAAAATGAGATTTTGTAATATTTGTTAAAGTGCCCCTATTATTGTCACGCTACTGTGTTGAACTCACATGAACACGATGATGATGATAGGCAGTCTTAAATAAATCCACAGAAGGTAAATACAAACAGAGAGAAGGCTTGCAACACACGTAACATCGACGATACCGGACAAATGAGGATTCAAACAGAGCAACAGGATGAGGCGAACACAGCTGAACAGGATAATACAATCAAATCAAAAACCATAGCAACGCAGACAGGAAATGAACACAAGGACAGAAAACCGAACTAAACTGAATATAATTGTGACAGTACTTCCCCTCCCAAAAAGGTGCAACCTCTCGCCGACAGATCACTGATGGGATGAGGTTTAGGTTGAGGACAGTTTGTGATGGTGAGCAGTGAACAGAGATCCAGAGGAGGTGATGGAAGAAACCAGGGAGGTGCTGATGGTGGTCGGAGCCAAGGAGATGCCTGGGTGGTGCCCCATGGTGGCGTTGCAGGAGGGAGGAGCCATGGAGGAGGTAAGGCTGACGACACCAGGGGGTCGACCAACAGACAACACCGATGAAAGAGGAGCCCCGGGAGGAAACAGAGTGAAGAGCTAGGGTGACACCGAGGTTCCTGAGGGCCAACGCGGAGTCAGTGGCTCTGGCGACTGAGGCGGAGACGGGGACCTGGAAGACCACGGCGAAGCTGGAGCGACTGAGGACCAAGGTGGAGCCAGAGGGAAGGAGGAGCCTGACAGAGCCAGGGGATGGAGGGACGAGGCGAAGGTGGAGCCGGAGGGACAAGGGAGCCTGGTGTAATATTTCCAGAGGCCAGTTGTAGCTCACCCTCAGTGGCAGGAGTGTGGGTGGGGCTTTTTTCCATCCCCTCGTACTCCGTCTGCTATGGGCTCAGGCAGACGCTCTGTGCAATGTGGTGGTGACTGGCTGGGCACTGGGTTGGGAGTGGGGCTGGTGTCTTCATCCGCAAGGCAGACGGTTAAGACACACTCCCCCCGGACAACTGCAGTCGTGTGGCAGTGTTCAGTCAGGCGTGCAGGAACGAGCGCAAGCAGTCGTCCGGGAATGTGGTCTGATGGGAGAGACACGCTTCTCGAGGGAGAGGTTCTCCTGCTCAAGGCAGAGCAGGTGGACAGCGGCAAAGTGATCCATTGACCAAAACAAACAAAAAACACTGACAAACAGAAAAAATAAAATGAGAAAGGCACACTGCTACTTATTTTCTTTTTGTGTCCTGTCTTCTGTCACAGCTACACTTCTCATGAATGCACAAAGTCAAAGAAGAAGGTTTATAAAGTCTTTAATCCAACAAACTGGTAAAGCAACACACAGGTAGCATTAACGTAGACGAGACCAGACAAACTAGAACTGAAATAATAAAATCTGTTTAAATTGATGCAAATATCAACTCATTTTCCAACGATTCGTTTGAAGCAGTTCTAAGATTCAGTCTCTCTGAACCCATCCATTCCGTGAGCCTACTCTGCTCTGATTGGTCAGATTGCCCAGTATGTTGTGATTGGCCTACCGCTTACTGCGTTGATACACCCATTGCCATAATTCCGTATTTTGAACGCTCAACAGAAAATGTAAACATCTATTATTTATCATACTTAAAGGTTGTGATTCAGTGGAGCCAGATGGTCCAAATAAACTGGGTACTGAGCCATCTTTTAAGAGCAAGCGTTTTGTGAATCCCGCGTTGAACTCCTCGAGATTAGAGAAGCAGTCGTCAGTAAAATGGCGGGAACACGATTGGGGTTGTACTGCTGTGATACAGTGGGAAAAAAATATTTTAACCACTGATTCTTTGGAGCCTCATCTTTCGGAAAGTGAAAATAAAACAAATTTACTTTCATAGTGTAGGACACAGTGTCTTCTCGACATGATGTTTACCACACGAACAAGCTAGAGTGTTTGAGGGTGGGTCAAGTTGTTTGTGTCCGGCCAACGTAGAACATACGTACTAAGTTGTGCAAATGTTATGCAAATGTGTAACCCTGTAACTGTAACCCCCTCACATACAGCTACATTACACATTGTATGAAAGGCAATATTTGAAATGGCATAATAGGGGCACTTTAAGTTGGACTAACAGACCATAATGCAATTGTAGCTTGGCTTCATACAGCATGTACAGTATATACAATGTGTTAATCAGAATACAGTTGGCCTCTGTGTTGTGTGCATGATCCAAAAGACAAAAGGTGACGCACAGCACGTATTTAATCCTTCAAATACTCGATTTAAGCATTCTGTTGTGTATACATGGACAGAGAAACTGACACCGTAGTTTGACTAGAAGAAGAAGAAGAATGAGCTTTATTGCCAGGTATGTTTACACATACGAGGAATTTGTTTTCGTGACAGAAGCTTCCACAGTGTAACAGAATGACAGTGACAGAACAAATTATTAATAAAAAATAAAATAAAAAATAGAACAAGTAAATAAGGAATAAAAATATATAAATTGACAGTTGTATGTGCAGGTATATTACAATAGACAGTTTTTTTATGTACAGGTACTGAATATTATGTGCAAATTTGAGGCGTAGACTGAGTATGTGTGTTAGATAAATAAGTGTATGAGTGAATAAATAGTGTATGTTCCACAGTTATTGTTAAGTGTTCATGGGATGGATTGCCTGAGCTTCAAAGACGCTCCAATCAGTGAGGTCAAAACAAGCTTTAAATCCTGCTCTGCTTCATTAGTCCATCTTTTTACAGTCCTTAATACAGGTTTAGCTGATTTCAGTTTCTGCCTGTAGGTCGGTATGATATGAACTAAACAGTGATCAGAGCGCCCCAAAGCTGCTCGTGGAACAGAGTGATATGCATTCTTTATTGTGGTGTAACAGTGATCCAATATATTACTGTCTCTGGTGGGACATGTGATGTGCTGTCTGTATTTTGGCAGTTCACGGGAGAGATTTGCTTTATTAAAGTCCCCGAGAATGATTAAAACAGAGTCCGGGTGTTGTTGTTCTGTGTCTGTGATCAGATCAGCGAGTTGTTGTAAAGCCGAGCTCACGTGTGCTTGCGGAGGAATGTACACACTGACGAGAATGAACGAGCAAAACTCCCGCGGTGAATAGAACGGCTTGCAATTAATGAAGAGCACTTCTAGATCTGAACAGCACATCTTCTTTAACACAGTTACATCTGTACACCACCTCTCATTGATGTAAAAGCATGTCCCACCGCCGCGTGATTTCCCCGTTGATTCTGCGTTGTTATCTGCACACCTACACACCTCGATTATGCAGTACAATTCAAATTTAGCAATACCAAAAATTACAAGTGTGAAATTTTAAGCTTAAAGTAAAAAAAATAAAAATAAACTATGGGTTTTTCTCACCCTGCAAAGACAGTTCCAACAGCAGCAATAAACCACTCTGCTGAATTGAAAACCAGGATGGCTCTCTCCAGACCAAGCTAGGTGAATTTTCAAATATTTTATTATATCCAATCCATAACTTGCATGAGAATGAGCTGTGCAAATCAACACATGAACATGTTATGTATAAATTATTGTTTAAAAAACTGCTCTAAGATCACCTTTAGAAAACCTTTGGTGGCCATTCGACTGAGGTGATAATATTCCGAAAAGGTAACTTTTTCCCACTTGTTTCCTCTTTTGCTTGCCAAAGCGGTCAGCTTCCCGTACTTCTGAACTGAGTTGGTAAACATCTGATGCACAGTGATGGGGTGTTCTGGACAAAGTTCATCCATTCTCAGCTGAACTGATCCGCTGACCTCTTTAGTCCACAGCGATTGGGCTGGGGCCAGTTCTGCACCTGCCAGAACCTCCTCAATGCTCGTTTTCTCTGCTGCATTGAATAAGAAATAATCACAGTTCAATTACTGAAAATTTGATGATATGAACAACAGGATTAGAAGGTCAGAACATAATCCTGATCTCCAAACTCTAAATATGCTAAACAAAATAATAGTTACTCTACTTACACAATCCATTCCCAACATCCTGCTGCATAAGGTCTGTCATGGGTGAACAGGCCAAGCTGAAACACAGATTGCTGGTTTGTTAGATAGCAGTGGACACTGGCTCTCCCTGCAGTCAGACCCGGCTCTTGCTGCCGTACCCATGAATTGCATGCTGTAACCACTCAACAGCGTTGTAAGACCCCACAATGACATGTTTGGGTTACAAAGTACTAAAGCCCCAGCAACTTTGTTGACAGACGGGAGTTCACAAAATGTGTGAATTTAGTTCCCATCAGTCATGGAAACTTCTATTTTCTGTTTCACTTCAGTTCTTGACATAGCCACAAGTGAGCAGGCACATTAGGTTGCTTTAAACTTGGCATCCCAACAAAATGACAGACTTAATGCTCTTTGTTAAGAGTGTTCGGTGAAAAACACAAACATCCACGTTTTTTCCAAGTAGTGTTTTTGTCAAACTCTTTAGAAAAACAAGACATTTTACAAGACATCTTATTCTTATCGGTGGCAACCTTAGTTGAACATAACTTCTCACATTAAAAAAAAAAGTTTCTCATTGTTAAAGGAATATTCTAATTTTTTGCCATGAAGAGCCATAAACATAAAAAAAGCTGAATTCATGTTTTCTTAAACCGTAAGTTTCACATTTGCACTTTTAAATCCTCAAAGAAATAACTAATTTACTTATAATGTAAATGCCACACTGTAGCCTATACATTTTTTAAACCAAATGCATTGATTTTTGATTCATTTTGACTCACATAAAATTACTTAAATATCAATGCGCAGGATGAAGATGTGATGAAGATGTCACAGTGCAAGTTAATTCAACAAATTATATTAAACAAATCCACATACCTTTTTCCAAACTGGTTATTGGTTGGATCAGTTTGCTGGTGTATTTTGAGCTCATGCTGACTGCAGGACTGGTATGAAGTGTTCAAAGATTGTCCGGTTCTTGGCATAATGAGGACAGAATGAAGCAATGAATAGCTCCATGAGGCACCTTCACAATTCTCCAAGTGAAAAGCTTCAGCTATGTGCTTATTTTTATGATGCTCTGAGTAAGCTTCAGGGAAATGTTCATAGTGAAGTTCTTTTCTCAGGAAAAGTTGGCAAAAAGTTTGTTCAGTGTGAAATGTCTTTGGGTGCAGTGCATTTTAATGAGTGTGTGGGCTTTCATATGGAAATTTGTTACAGTCCTTAGAATTTGTGTAAAACAACCCACTCAGCTGAATTTATTTGAGGTTATTCTGACTTATCTTCAATAAAATTAATTTATTTCTAATGGGATTTTTTCTATTTTAGTTTTATCACCTTTAGGAAAAGAGAGGAAGAGTCATATTTTTTCCATTCACAGAATTGCTCTTCTGTAAACTTAAGTCCAAAGTCTTTTACGTCAAATCAAGTCCTTTCTGTTCAGTGCAACAAAACACACAAGCTTAAATGTATGGGTCAAATACAAATAAGCATATCCATGATAAAGAAAAAAATCGATTTAACTGTAGTATAAAGTACATGTCAAGTTCTCAGAAATGTACTCTTTGCAATCATGTTGGTGTGATTTTGAAAAAGTTATACTTTTCTATTTAATAATGGCTGAAAATGTTATACCATCAAGGAAAGAGTAATGGCATCCCTTATCCCTTCAATGCATGTTAGTGGGCACTGCACTTTAATCATCATTTTAATAATTATTTTTTCAAGCTCGAGACTTAATGACCTTGTCATGAGGGTTTGGGTCCTCTATTATATTAAGATTTATGTGTTTTTATGAAGTTGTTTGCACCACATGACTTTGATTTTGTGGTCCATTGTTTTTCCAAGTATTAGAATAAAAAATTAAAAAATTAACCTTCTCTAATCTTTTTGTATTCTATCTTTTTGTTTTCTTTTTATTTATTATACAATTAACAAAAGCAAAAAAGGCGTCTAATACTAGCTTGCTCTATTCTTTTTCTAGAAAAAAAACAACCTTGCTATGTGTACTGCGTTAAGCTAACTGAGACTTGTTATAGCACTTGCATATCATTGCTCTTTTGTTGATTTTGATTGCTTCCATTGTCCTCATTTGTAAGTCTCTTTGAATAAAAGCGTCTGCTAAATGTCTAAATGTTTTTGTAAACAAGAAAAATAAAATAAAATAAAATAAAAAAGAAATTTCAAAAAGATTATGCCAAACTAAAGTTTTCGTTTCTTCGTTATGATATCAGAATCATTGATTCAGCTTGACATTTTTACTTTATCTTGCCCCAAATATCAAATTATAAGTTTATTTGCAGTTTTAAATATTTTATTAAGAAATGAATAGATCCAAAAAGAAGAGTCATGTTACTGATCTACAAGTTAACATGACATGATGACATAGGCCGGTGTTTGGTTACCGCCGGAAAACGATTGCGCGGAGCCTCCAAGAAACGCTGGTGTTCGAGCTCTCTGTCAGAAGTCTGTTGAGAGTGAAGTCTTTCTTTCTCTTCCTCATATGAATCTTTTATGTCATGTGCTCCAGCAGGTTGAAGCTTGTGTTGTGTTCAGATTTAGCAGGTGAATCAGTGCACAAACTCCGGTTGAGTTCAGTGTTGAAGCTCGCTCATGTTCACAGCAGGGCTGGCAGTGCTCAGAATTCGGCACTGACTTGTAGCACACACCTGATTTTGTGCTCTGACTCACCTGCTACATCTGAGCACAACACAACACGTGGGGTGGGGCTTCACAAGAAAATTAAACAATAAATCCAGCAAATAGTTGAGATTTAACCAACATATTTAGCTGCTGGATTTATAACCTTCTAAGAAGAACCGGGAATCAAAAAAAACTTGTAGATCTCACAAATTTTGCCTTGAATGATCGTTCATTTCATCATCTGTGGTGTTTTAGCCTTTTGCATGGCCGTGTATGCGACTGGCATGATTGCAGTCTAACTGCCTTGAAAGACAATTTCTTGGGAATATGTACCCTGTCATGTATATTGAATGGAAAGCTTGTAGAGCTGACACATTTTGCCTTACTATTCTCCAAACACTAAGATGCCTTTCCCCTTTTCTCCAAATTGACTTTTTCTGAGGATCACAGAACACACATTTTTCGGAAAAAAGCAATTATTTTATGGTAATGCTAACCTATAATGTAATTGTAATTTAAAACTTTGGACATGTAATCTTAAATTTCGTTGCACATTTTCACCATAGTTAGTTCTACATTCACTATTGTGTGGTATTTTTCCGCTCTTTATGTCATTTTTTGGTTTCTGTATGTGGATTTAGGCAGACCTCATTAACCTCATTGTATAAGCTTAACATCTTGAATAAAACAAATGAAAACTTATTTAAATAGTGAGTCTGCAATTATGATTGTGGCTTTAATTTGGTCAGTCTCAAAAAATGCTAATTTTACAATGTACAAAATGTTTAAGTCTTGAATAAAGTTCAGTTCATTTTTTTGGCCATTACATCTTAGCCTTAGAAGTGATTAAAATCAGATAAATCACCAGTGACAGTAAAACCAGCAAGTAATTATGAGGGGGAAAAAATTCTAAGATGGTTCTAAAATCAAATTATTCATATGAAGATGAAGCAATGTAACACCAATGGCATATTTTTAAATGAACCACATGAAAAAAGTAAATGATAAAGTTTATAACACCAACAACAGAAAAAATAAGACTAGTGTCTTTTTAAATGATTGATTACCTTTATTTGCACAATTGTTAGATCTTGCACTAATGCTTAACCCTGGAAAATAATATATAAAAAAATGTCACAGAAGTGACATGCTAGATCAAGGTTTGTATTCACGCACATTTTTAAATCATTAAAAACGTGAAAATCTACATAAAGTCAGACAATTTCATATAATTGAATAAATAATGTTATGAAAATACTTATTCATGAAAATTCAAGAGAAGAGGTTTGTCACCAATTCAGCAAACCCAGAAATTTAGTCTACAGTCCTCAAACATATATATTTCCGTTCTGTCTGGCAACAAGTTTTGTATTACCTTCAAGAATTCTGATTGGCTTTTCTTTTTGGTGTACCATTATTTCCGGACACCTGTAACAAACTGATTGGATGTTGTTTCTTCTTCAGACTGATGGAAGAAGGTCTGGACGTGTCGCAGTTTTCATTGGCCAAGAACCGCCAAAGAGGCTGTCTGACTTAACCCTCTGGTGATCTTTTGAACACTTTTGACCAAAAAATTTTCTGTTTTGAATTTTTAAAAATCACAGCTTCATCGGAATGGTACAAAACTTTTATGGTATTTGGAATGTGAACACACACAAATTGAGAGCTTGATTCGAGCAGGCTAAGTGGTCATAAAAAAATAGTCACACTTGTGGTCTTCGGTCAAAAATGACCGACCATAGGAAATGAATTGGGAATCCACAAAAATTCAGCGAATTTTTATGTGTGCAATCTACAAATCTGCCACAATGCAGAAAAAAAGTACACAGAAATGATGGGGTGAAACTCTAAAACATCAAGAGTGCAAAACCAACACATCCATTCAAACACACACACGCGTACACACACACTTATGCACACACACACCTGTGGACTGGTGTGACTGTAACATAGCAAATATGTCAAATAAAAACAATAATTCAACTACAATGCAGTAAAAAAAGTGGACAATAAGGAAGGGGTTACACTCTAAAATATCGAGAGTGCAAAACAGACACATCCACTCACACACACACACACATATACACACTCACAGACAAACGCACACATACACAATTATACACATGCAAATGAATTGTTATGGCTATAACCATATAGCCATAACGAGTCAGAAAACTGAAATAAGAGGTTGAAATCAGCTCACACCCAGAAGGATTAAGCTCTGATAAAGCATTCCTGTTCATTTTTGTTAAATTGTTATAGAATTTGAATGTTGTGTGTAACAAAATGCTTTCTCTGTGTTCAGGTTTGACTGTAGTAATAATAATTCAAAAACTGACGCTTCAAATCAACATTTCAAACCCCTAAAAAATCTAAACCTTTACAAAAAGTTGTCTTTGAAAATGTCTAAATATATATCCAAACCCACAACTTAATAAAAATAAGTATTTATGTCTAAAAACAATTAGAGAATTTATAGGCCTTTTATATAGAGCTATATGGGAATCTATGCTCTAAACCAGGGGTAGGCAAGTTCGGTCCTAGAGAGCCACAGTCATCAAGCGTAGCGTTAGTTCTGGCAGGTCACGTTAGTCAAGCTCGCATCAGCTGACCTTCAGCTGATCCCCATCTACCTATGGGAGTACGACACCTATCTAAGCATTCATATATAAGGTCCCTCAGTATTATCAGCAGTTTTCGCATTGCTCAATAGCTAATTACCCTCCTCCATCCCCAGCTCCTCCTCTGTCAGTCGGGATTCAGCCTTCTGATTCTCCTTGAATCAGACTAATTCTAAAATGTGTACATAAAATGATTGAACTTTAACGATATCTGCAATACATTTATGTTGGTTCTGTTCTGTTTACCCTGGGGGGGTTATTGCTGCTCTCCCTGCTCTCATCCATGCTAGGCTGCATGGGAGTTCTTGCCCAGAACGGAACCATACCGCCAATCCAAACTGAATGCTAATTGTCAATCATCTTTGACGATAGTGGTCCTGACAGAAAAACAGATTATGCAGGAGGAAGATGCAGGGAACAGGGATTGGGTGTTCTGCAAAGAGAGTTGGAGGGAAATAAGTTAGCAGTAACTGTTATGCTGATGTTGTGGGTGGTCAAGCAAATGTTTGTGCTTGTTTCTGTATGATATAATTGTTCATATATCTATTAAAATACTGATATTCTGGTCTATAACTCCTCCCCGAACTTCCCTCTGCCCTGTATCTTGGTCTCTCATTGGCTGTAGGTCATTGCCGATGTAGTTTTCAGTCAGAAATCATTGCACACTGCATGATTGTGAATCGCAGACAGCTCCACATATTAAGCATGCCAAATATTTCACGGGCGTCGGCGACGTGTCGGCGATTCCCTCAGATCGCGTCTTT